CCAGTTTAGTAATGCTTATAAAGGTATGCCATCATCGAATAAAAGTGACTAAAAATTAATACACAATATGTGAAGAATATGCGGACAAAGATTAAAAGGAAAGGCGATATCCATTGAATGCAGTTATAGTTTTGTTTCCATATGGTTTCTTGTGTCTTGCATTATTATTGGGCATGCAAGTAAACACCTTACAATTATATAAATGACACACGCAAAAAAATAAACGCCGTGCACTCAGGTGTAATTTGCAAGTTCGTTTATCACAAACTATTTGCTCCATGTAGAACTTTTCTCGCATTTTTGATAACTTACTTTACAACTTAAAAAATTAAATTAAGTTATATGGTGCTGTCTTAGTTCTTAGTAAGTGTAGGCTTTGGGAGGTAAATAGATTAATGTTCCTACATTGCATGGGTTTTCCTTGGCCGAGTGGTTAACGTCGTTGACTTCAGACCACCCCTCACCGCTGTGGGTTCGAATCCCGGCAAGGACTTTGGATTCTTTCATTTAAGGTGTGATGTAAATCCCAAACAAACCTACATTTCACGGAAGGATACGTGTTTAAATGTGTTTTACGTTGCACCAACACTAAAAATGTCATATGGAGACTTTTCAGCTTTACCTCAGATGCCACTCTGTGTGCATTGTTTCAGGGTACAGCGGGTACTTACGTAGAAACACAACATAATGAATGGGCGGCTTTCAAAGTACACGCATTATGGCCACATGAAACACAGAAATGACAATCAAAACGGAATACAAACATTTATTTTTGATATACAATCAACATCTCGCATGTTTTTGATTAAACACCCAAAATCAAATCCATATTTGATAAAAAAAACAAAAAAACAAAACAAAAAAAAAAACAAAAAAAACAACAAAAAAACAAAGGATAAGTACCCAAAGTTAATATACGTAATACACATATCTTTCTAAATACATGTATTCATAACAATTCAAAATTAAAGGAACTCCACTGAGGACCTTAAGCCTAAAACATAAAGTTTCAAATTCTTCCATCTGGCAACTCGGGTACAAACAGTAAAATATTCTAAAGAAAATTGAAACATAATCTCCGAATTTAATTGAAAATCAATTATTTTGGTAAATTCTGGCACGGTTTCTATTTAAAGCTTTAAACATATTTTGTTATGACCATGGACTGGAATGAAAATAAATATCTGTAATTTTGCATAAAATGACTCAAAAATCTAAAAAATAATTCAATCCAAATATGTTAAAAAATTAAAATAAGAAATAATGTGAATAAAAAACCTCAAAGGAGTCCAACAGATGATTTTAATGACGCATATATAAATAAGAAATAACAAACAAAATATTAGACAGTATTATTGTAACAACAATAACGATAAGTCTTATTCCATTTATAAAACTCTTTAATATAACATTATGCCCATCCAAGGGTATATATAGAGTGGAAAGTTGTGTCAAAGCCGTACGACAAACTTAATTTTGTAAATACGTACTAATAAACTTTAAACAGCTTAGTGTTTTAAATTTTTTTTTTTTAAATAATCGATTTACTAAACTGATAAACAGTTTGCCGATTTACCAAAGTGAATGTGTTACAATTCATTTGAATAACTGCAATCCTATTGGACAAAAATAATTTCAAACACTTAACATTGTATAAAACGCCTTTTTACATGCGTTTTATCATAAGAGAACAATATTTACAATTATCATGTTGTATCGACGACATCAAACAGTAAATAGTTTAAATAAAAAACGATACTCAATACGTTAAATATGTTGTTATGATTATATTTACTCACATGATAAAGTTCTATCAACATTAGAATATATAGAGGATATTCAAGTTTTTTCTATAAATACATGATTTATTTTCATCGAGTGGTATGAAAATAAATATTTCATGAGTGGCGGTAGCCACGAGTAAAATATGGTATTTTCATGCCACAAGATGAAAATAAATCATGTATTTATAGAAAAAACTTGAATTTTCTGTTTATTATATACATTTTTCTCTTTTTTGACATTAAAATTTGAAAGACTTTCTCTTAAATTTTGTGTACTGGCAGAATTTAAAAGAAAGTAGTCCGGCAAGACACCAGTGAAAATACGGAAAATATGTTTCACTGCAGTGAAAAATAAATTTTTACAGTGAAAATACGGAAAATGAAAATATGCATTTTATTTAAACAATATTTCTCAATATTTCATTTATAAGTATATAATAAACAATTATTATTTTATATATTATTATTTTTATCGATATTAATAGCCTTTACACTGATTATCTTTCAAAGCTAAAACTCATTTTTCTAATTTAAAAATACTCAAAGATACATATATTTCTTTTTTTTAAAGATGGATTGATACACTTTTTGTTATCCCCAACACAAATTGATTCTGTCATATTGTCAGGCTTCGTTATTGTATCAATAAAAAAGTATTATTGCTAGGTAAATTTTCTTTTTTTTTGAGACTGATACTTTTATCATAATAATATCAAAACGACAAAAATAAAATTCCAATATTGAAAAGCTTTTTATCACAAATTTACTTATCAAATTAAAACACCAAAAATGGAATGCTTCTTATTATGTAAACAATCTTCTGTATCCATTTGCTACCTTGAAACCTTAATGCATAATATGGAAATTTTATTGGTAGATATACAAAAATAAAATAAATGTTTGATGAAATGGTCTAATAATCTTTTACTTTATAAATAGTAAATTTTTCATCGGAAAATATTCAAGAAAATATATCTTCACACAAACACCGAATCTATATAAAAAGTATATATAACAATATTCGTGTTTCACAGAAATGTGTTCATAACAAAATTAGTAACATAAGGAATATAATTCATACACACATACACGCACGCACGTGCGCACAGGCATATGATATTAAGACAAAAATAATGAGCACCAGATGCAATATTTTCACAAGTAGTGTAGCCACGAGTGAAAATAGAATAGCTGGTGTTCATGAATGAGATATATTTCAATCTTATATGTAAAACAAATATATTTTCTTTTTATTTCATGCTTTTTAAGTGTTTTTAACATCGACATGCTTTTCTTAAAGAGGCAAAAATTACATATGACGGCATTTATTTTTGCCTGTTATTCCATTAAGTTGTGGTATTCTTTTCATCCGCATCAAGGTCTACAGATTTTATCTAGTCCGGCTATGTACAGTGAAAATTACCTTTAATGAATTTCGCTAGTGGTTTATCAGAATATTAAGAGGGTATTTTTTCGCTTGAGTGAAATATGGAATATATTTTCACGAAACATGAAAATATGTGGTATTTTATCATGTTTCGTGAAAATATATACCATATTTCACGAAAAACGAAAAAAAGCTTTTTATTTAATTTCATTTCGTTTTGGTGTAAGTATGTGACTTTTAAATACAATAAAAAAGATACCGCGTATGTTGAATAAAACTTTGTCCCCGTTTTCGGTGTAAACATACCACAATTATGTGAAACCTGAGATTTTGTGACGTATTTTCTATTGTATACGTTATAATCTACCATACTAAAAGTCAAGATCGTATCAATGTTATCTTTCTTGAATAAAGCCCCCTTTTTGTTAACACAGTTGAAAAACATGTGCAGAACAATGCGATAAGGCCATATCTGTAATTCAAGCCCAGACAGTTTAAGTATTCTCTCCTGCTGAGCGATTTAAAAAGACTCTCAATTCAGCTATTTTATTATGATTTATTATGGTAAGAATAATTATATTTCACAACACTCGTTGACTAACATTTAATAAGGTTTGTATTTGTATTTCGACTATACTCGTATTTCGCTGTCACCTTATACATTTACAACTTTTGCCTGTTTCGTTGATGCGCGGAAAAAAAGATGCGCATGTCACTCGTGCAACAACTACTCGATCGATGCGCACACACAAGTAATTCAAGTTTATACTCAGTATTGCGGTAAAACCTTCAATTATAACAGCAAAGTTATAATATTTAATCGGGAAAGATGCCATACAGAACAAAAAGTAACAAGTATTTTTTTTAATAAGCAAGCGTAATTTAGTCTACGATATATGGTCATTTAATATGAGTCTCAATCTATTTTTAGAATGGGAAAATCCAATTTAGCCAGTGAATATGATACAACACCAAGTGAATATAATTTCATAAAAAAAGTTATATGGACAACTGTTTGGACCAATGTGATTGCAGTTATATTTAAGATCACATAATAAGATAATATATAACATATAACAACTGCCTAAAATATAAAAGAAATGCCTTTTCTTTTTATCAATTGAACGTTATTTCATCCATCATTTGAACTAGGAAAATAAGTACACAAAGTTATATAAACTTAGCTAACAAATGTGTCACAAAATGCCACAATCTTTTGGAAACAATTTATATTATCGTCTTCAATTATACCAGCTTATAGTAAACACTAGGGAGAAAATTTATCGTGAATATTAGAGTATTGTAATAAAGGTAAAATATAATAATAAATAATAATAATATGATATAATATATATAATAATAGATAATACCGAATGCCATTTTCACCTTTAAGGAGACTCCAATTTTGAATTAGTTGCTTTAACAATTTAAAAACATAAATCAATGAACTAAACATTATACTAAGCATTCATAAAGGCCTGTGCATTTTCTAAACATATAAAATTTAATACACACAAAATAGGAAATCTGTATGAAAAAAACATAAAAAAACAAAACAAAATGATATATATACTCAATATAAATATGGCTAAATTTCTTTGACCTGAATGCTCGTCTTCATTTATATCAACTATCATTTACATTTGATCAGGACTTATTCCGTCATACGATAGCGTATTTTAATGAACACGACCAGTCTTCAAAAAAAAAAAAAAAAAAAAAAAAAAAAAAATAAAAAAAAAAAATAAAACAGCTTCAAACATGACACTGTATGATTTAAAATGGTAAACATACATGAACAGGATATTTTACTAATTGTTTTAAGTATCAAAAAGTTTAATTATCTAACATTGCTTAATAAAACTTTTACTAACGTGTATCTATAGTAAAATTCATCATTGGAAAATATTCAAGTAAACATTTCTTTAAAGATCGAATCCATGTAAAAATAAAGTATATATAACACTATTTGTGTTTAAGAAAAAAGTGCTTGTAAACAAAATAGTAACATAAGGAATACACACACACACACATACACATATGCACGCACGGGCGCGCATGCGTATAATATTATGACAATAAATACTCGTTAAACTACCGCTTATTTGTTATTGTTTACGTTATAATTTATAATACTAAACTTCAAGATCGTATTAATGTAAGCTTGAATAAAGTCCTTTTCTGGTTAACAAAGTAGTATGTGCAAAGAAAAATGCGATAAAGCCATGTCTGTTATCAAAGTCCTGGCAGTTGTAAGTTTTTTTTCCCTGTTGGGCGATTTTATAAGGTTTCTAAATTCAGCTACTTTATTAACATTTTGTAATTCATTATGTAAAGAATAAATAAAACAGTTGTTGACTTAAATTTTATAAACTTTGTAATAATGTTTAGGTTATAATTATGCTCATTTTGCGATGTCATGTTGAGCTAAATATAATCTATGAATATATATTACAACTGCCTAAAATAGAAAAGAAATGCCTAGTCTTTTTATCAATTGAAAGTTAAGTCTGATTTGCAGTTGTTTGTTGTGATACACTTTTGTATCATATAATTATGCTATCATTTAAACTACGGAAAATAAGTACACAAAGTTTTTCAAATTGAACTAACAAATGTGTCACAAAATGTCACAACTTTTATTTAAAATAAAATAATATATATTTTCGTCTTCGATTATACCAGCCTATAGTAAACATCTTGGAGAAAATTTATCGTGAATATTAGAGTACTGTAATAGAGGCAAAATATTCTGTCATGAAATAATCACGAATGCCATTTTCACGCTTTAAGGAGCGTGAAAACTGCAATTTTGAATCAGTTGCTTTAACAATTTAAAAAAATAAATCAATAACATGTATGTAAAAATACAATACATAAATACATATATTTCATTTCAGAATGATTTAGAACAGTCAGTATTGAAAACAACTACAGGGTACAATTTGTGTTAGTAAACGAGCTTGCTGAATTAGTCATTTATACTAAGCATTCATCAATATCTGTGCATTTTCTAAACATATAAAATTTGATACACACAAATAGGAAAATATATATGACAAAAATGATATATATTTATTCAATAGAAATATGGCTGAATTACTTTGACCTGAATGCTCGTCTTCATTTATATCAACTATCATTTACATTTGATCAGGATTTATTCCGTCATACGATAGCGTATTTTAATGAACACGATAAGTCTTCAAAATAAGACAGCTTCAAACATGTCACAGTATGATTTAAATTGATAATTTACATATATTTTTACAATTTTACATTTTAGTTACGTGTGTCGACCACAAAAGATTTCACAGATATGGTACATCATGTTTTCGTTAACTTATCAGCTTCTGCATTTCTATTCAAATTATACCACGATTTTGGTATATCATCGGGCTCATCTTTACCCGTTCGGTGTGCAATTTCCTTTATGCGTGACACATATATGTATTTCCAAAAGCTATTGTCATCAACACACATATCAGAAGGAACAACCCAACTTTCGCGGATGTTTTCTATTGTAGGATCATGCTTTCCATCATGCTCATGTGACTTCAGTTCTTCCCAACATGTAAGCGATGACAACTTCCTAGATGATGTCTCGCACCTGCCATTCATCCCCGTTGGTTTATGCATAAAAGCGCTGTGTTTTCCACTATGATTCATTTGTCCGATACAACATACTTCATCACATAAAGGGCACTGTTTAGTGCAACCGATTAATGGAGAGATAATTATGCTTACAGTTTCACATTTTATATTGTAATATTCTTCGGTGTCTATTACGCGTCTTAATATAATTTTTAGATACTTTTTACGTACAGAATCCTTCTTTAAATTATCAACCAATATTGTTATCAAAGTAGTTGGTTCAATTTCCCCGAGAAGATCATTCTCAAATTCCTTAAAACTATTCATCGGGAGAAATTTTGCAAGCGCTGACGATATCAAATTTATACATTGTTTCATTGCAGGAAGTGTAGTTACCTTTTGATTAACTTTTCCTTCCTCCAGGCTGTTACAAACTGAGGTAATATTCTTATCAAAGTAATCCTCTACTATCTGTTTTAGTGATCCATTGAAAGATTCGGTTTCATTCGATAGAGAATCAAACAGTTTCGATATACAGCTTCTAGCACTATGTTCAAACGAATGTAAACAACTATCTAAAAAATGGGACTCAAGATTTCCGATTAAAGTGTAATATATGTGTTTTATAAGTCCCTGCTTTGAAGAAAGACAGTTATGTTGATCTTTAAGGTAAATTGCAATTTCATTAGGTATGGAAGACATTAAATAGTGGACTAACTCTGTCAATATCAATTCACTGAAATTTTCAACTGCTTCTGCTGAACTAGTTTTATATAAAACAATTTCCGAAATCTTCGAACGGAAATAATTTTCTAAGTGAATTTTTAAAGGCGTGTATATGATTTTATTCTTCCTTTCAAGTTTTTTAAAGCGTTGAATAAATTCACCACATGAAGCCAGTGCTACGTCAATTTCAAAAACTGGCTTCGTATGAATCAAACCCTCGGTTAAGTTGCGATGATTTCGCAAATGTAAAATAATATCTTTAAAAATTCCAACCCTATAATCAAGACTGCCATCGGCTATTTGCGCTAGCTTATGTTGCAAAAAAATCCTCATGTCCTCCACAATTTCACTTGCAATTTGGTTCTCTGAATAATGCTCATGAACTGACCAATATGTTGGTGGTACTTCGCATGACAAGTCTGCCAGGTTTCTATCTGAAATACACATTACCTCCAATTGTTCATCTATTTTGGCATGACGTATTGGAAACGATGAGTACATGCAACTTACGGCTTCTTCTTCAAATACCATACCGTTTGACGAAGCAACTCCAAACTGTTTGCTCTTAATCCATCTGTGGAACAAATTGTCAAATAAATCGTTAACGTTAATTGAAGCATGTGTTCGATTTTTAAGATTTTTCTCTAGAAAATGGTCAATTTCGAGCAACATATGTTTATCTAATTCAACAATTTCCAATTCTTTCTGTCTTCTTTTCACTTGTACTTTAAACAGATTCGTGAATTCACGCCTGCTCTCTTCGAAACTCACTTTGATTGACTGCCTAACAAGGCTTTGGAACTTTAGTATTGATTTTCCTAAAATGGTGTTAGGAATTCTCCTGACTATGTTGTCGCCATTTACTGTATATAAACAAGCTAAAAGTTCATTTGTCCTATCATCGTATTTATTCTGTAATTCCAGCAAAGCATTTTTATTCGTGCAATCATTTATATTTTGATTGAATTCCTTTAAATTCTCTTGCAACGTCGATCTTAATTTCCATTGTAAGTTGCATATTTCTCTATCAATCACAGTCCTTGCTTTAATTTCAATAATATTTTTAAATTCGTAAACGAAATTGTCCCGTTTCACCGCCTCCCATATATTTTCGATGTGCTCCGCAAATTCCACTAATAAAAACGTTCCATCGGTTTTAATCATTATGTCTTTTTTAAGACTCTCTACGTCTTCGCTGTATTGTGGATTAATCAGACCTTGGGGTTGAGAGGACTGATAAAGGGGAGGAAAATGATAAACGTCTTTAACAATGTCAAACTTAATAATATCTTTAAAGCGCTTTGGTCTAATATTTTCTAATTTACAAGCAGCATATGTATAATCATCCAACAAACGCTCAAGATGATGTGTCTGCTGAAGTAGATGGTATTTGTTTCCTTTTGCTACATTTTGGTGAAGAAGGACGCAACATGGATTTAAACCAACCAAATCCATTCTAAGAAATGCGTGTACAGAAATAGGCAAAATATCTTTTAGGTATGACAGATTTTCACCCATTATATTGACAATTGTTATATTTGAAATCCCAATCACAAAAGTTGCCAATTCCCTGTCCTTCCGGTCAATATCAAGTGCCTCGGATTCTAATGGCAATGTAAACAATCCTTCTGTATCAACAACAAATACATATTCTGCATTATAGTTTCTGATAAAATCTGGTGACACTTTTACCAAATGAAGATGTAACCCACGTGTACATCTGCCAGACCCTTCAGCAAATTGCGATCCAAACATTACATTTAATAATGTCGACTTTCCAGTGCTTTGAATACCTAAAACAGATACTACTTTAATTCTTATATTTTCAAGATTTCGCCTTAGTTCAGATATTATGCCTTTCACCCAATTCAAAGAAACATAATTTGATATCCCATCCATTAATTCTATATTGTAGCCATATAAGAGAAGTTTCACCGCAGCAGAAAGCATCCTGTCAAGTCCAAAAATGTTACGGTCTTCCTTTTGGCACTGAGAGGAAACAGTCTCGTATATTTGTCCCATTTCTCTTACAAAATGTGATATTGATAAAGAATTGTTACATATCTTCACATCTAGGTTATCAAGTCTTTCTTGAATTTCAACAGAGTGTAATCTGTCAAGACGCAATTGACACAAAAGATCTGAATAAACACTGTAGACTCTATTCAGATTTGAACGTGTTGCTTTGTCAAAATTTATTTTAAGAAGTCTGATATAAATTTCGTTTTGTTCTTCTAAAGTTAAATACGAAAAAGGAGGCGAGTCTTCTGTTTCTGAGATCGTGTCAAATGTTTCTAAAAATCGATATATCAGGGAACTTTCACCATTTCTAATGAGGTTTATTTGCTTCAAACGTGACGCATTTTTCTGTTGCTCTAATTTGTCCCGATAAAGACGAACATTTTCTCCGCTTTTCCAATGTTGTAGTTTATAAATTTCCTTATCTGCTTTTGAAAATGCAAGAGATTCTGACCATTGGATTGGAAAAATAGATTGCATTTTGTTCTCCTCATATAGCTTGAAAATTGGGTTGGTGAATTCTTCAGCTTTCGTTATTTGTTTTTTAATTCTGTCTAAATCGATATCAAAATTGTTTTCTTCAGCAATTTTCATCAAATCATCTATTGAATTTTCAAATCTAGCTTTTGAAACTGCACACAGAACTTCCTTCATCCAGTCAAATCGCATTGCGCATTTCAAAGCAACTATAAGGTTATCGATTAATTTGTGTGTGCAAAATTCTTCAAGCTCTTCTGCCAAGTTAATATCCTCTTCGTTATCAGAAAGATCTGTGCAAAAGATAATAAACTGCTTTTTATGTGTTGACATGTCTTTCTGCATTAAAGATTTCACTTCACCGATTTCTTGTTTATCACAAAGAAGAACTACAATATCACTGGCAGTTAAAAGAAAGCCGAGTTGATCTGCATGTTTTTTGCAATTTCCGCGGAGATTAAGATATAAAGATGGTTGATCACTAGCATTAAACACAGGAAAGGCCTCGATTATTCCGTTGCAAATTTCAGACACGTTCTTGGTACTTCCTTCCAAATCTCTATGGAAAAAGAAAGAGTGCTCTTTTCCGGATTCAGTTATTATCATATTAAGAATGTTTGACTTCGAAACAGTTTGCTGACCAAATCCAATGGCACTGATTACTTTCATTTTAAAATCTAGTACAGGACGTTGTATATCACTACCATCAGGGTCTTTGTATTTTGCAATCAAACTTTTCAAAGGCCAAATGTATATTGTTGCCCTTTCAAGTTGCCCACTTTTTACTACGAGTGGGAACGCATGGTTGCAGCCCCAGAAATGCAAGACCAGGTCTTGTCTTGAAATGAAATTACAGCATAAGAAAACAAATGTCGATATGTCTAGTGGATGGGGATGCATTGATCTTTTTCTTGATTTAACTTTTCTACAATTGCCATTATAAAAAACGATTTTCTGTAAAAATGATAAGTCATGTTCGTATGTTGCTATAGCGTTGTTGTGTTCATTACTTTCAAACCGAACAGAAAAGACATCTTGTCGCTCCAAACGTCCCGGAAACAAACCACTATACCTACAGAACTGCATAAGATCGTCAATGTCCATTTTAGTAGTTGTTGTTTTTTGATCTGAAACTGATAATCAATACAAGACATGACATATTAAATTTATCCTCCCATACACTCTTTAGTTTTTCATGTGTAAATCAATGCTCATAGCTTTTTGGAAGTTATTTTTTGGTGTGTTTAAAAACCCTACACAGCCTGATAAATAGTAAAGATTTAAAGCCGAAAGAATAAATTACATTTAGAGATAAAAAGGATACTCTATAACTTTGAAATATAGAACAATGTATTATAAATTTGTTTAAAGATAGATGAAAGGGCCATATTTGTACATACCTATGAAGAAAACACACACGCATATCACAGAAATTTGGATAAAAAAGATACTGGCTTAATCCATCCTCTCTCTCATTAAAAGGCAAACAATACTTTTGCGACATTCATTATTGAAATAAAATGATCTTTGTGTTTGGTACCATTTGTTAGGATATTCAAGTTCTTTCAGAGTTTAAAACACTTGTTTTCAATAGGTGTGAGTTTGAAGAAACATGATTTTCAGTTTAGCACGTTACGGGTTAAAAAGAAAATTAAACAAATAGTCATGTTGGTGTTATACTGTTAATAACATTTAAGAACTCGTAAAATGATGTAAATAAGCATTACATACTTGTAATATGTGGAGACGTCTAGTCTTGCATCTCTGTTTCCCCAGATATCATTTATTTTGAGGGGGCGTCCGTGGCCGAGTGGTTAAGGTCGTTGACTTCAAACCACTTGCCCCTCGCCGCTGTGGGTTCGAATCCCGACAGGGACTTTGGATTCTTTCATGTGAGGAAGCTATCCAGCTAGCTTACGGAACGTCGGTGGTTCTACTCAGGTGCCCGTTCGTGCCTGAAATAATGCACGGAAGGGCACCTGAGGTCTTCGTCCACCAGTAAAGCTGGAACGTCGCGATATGACATATACTGTGTCTATGTGATGTAAAATATTTTGAGCTTATTTAGGGTCTTCTCGGTTGTAGATTTAAGCATGATGTAAACAGTTTGCAGGGGCAAGGTAATTTATGTGCAAAACTTAACGAATAACAATTCTCCAACGTGCCATAAAATGCTTTGTCAATGAAACGAGTGTCCAAACCAAACCCAATATTGAAAAAAAGCTCACAGCAAAATCATCACAAGTCATTAACCGCAGCAGTCTAATTTATAATAAAAGAACTAACTAATTCACAAATGTGCAATTTTCATTTTGCCCCTTACAACGAATACTGAAAATCATTATTTATACAATCCATAATTTGAAAACAAAATATACCATGCTGTAGTTGATAAAGAAGAGATAGAGGGAAATTGAATCACTATAGAAAGCAAGAACGGCAAAATTGAAAATGTTGCAGGCTCGATTTGATTGAGCCTTTTCATTGACGGTACTTGAAAGTGCCGTTCACGCCCTCGTGCACTGCTTATGGAGAATTTAATATTTAACATGAAATGGTAAAACTTTGAGAATCCTAAAATTGGTACCAAACTTATTTAGTTTCAATAATGAAAAATTCAAACATTATGCTAAATATTGGTTTTATTTGCCTTTCAGCATACTTTGGAATTCATATTCCTTTTATTCGTAAAGTAGAAAAAAACCCGCGTTACATTTCATTAAAAACACTTACTTTAAATTTCAAACTGCAGTCGTATATTTCGAAGTACAGTCTTCTTGTGTATAAAATGCCATTCAAATGGCATATTCTTTGGCAGCTCATACAACCCACTTGATCGCAAAATATGATGCTTATTTACAAAAATCCATTTCCAAACACATGATGGTTCTTCATTTAAGGTCATGCGAACTTTCCAATTTGGATAAACACTATTTAAATCTCTAAAGCTTACATATCTATCTTTGTAGTTGAATAAATTTCCTTTTCTACAATGTAACGTGCAGGTTTCATAGGAGAGCTCACGTGTCCCCTTCCAATGCATTCCTCGGCAACCAACTGGTCGGTGAATAAAACACTCATGATGGCCAGGATGACAAGAAGAAAATTTACAGATTTCTTTACAAAACGGACACAATGCTTGACATCCAATGACTTTGCCACTAAATTTATTTGCAATCATTGAAATCACATTCATTGAATTAGTAGATATTTCTGAAGCGAGGTCTGCTGTTGTTGCATCCAGAAACTGTTCACATTTCCCTTTCATTTCGTCCTTCAGTCTTCCAATGTTAACTGTAATTTCCAAATATCCTTTAGCTTTTTGTTTAAAAAGATCAATAATACTTAAATCTATATAAACATGCTTGCTAAAACGTTGAAAAACGTCATGAAAAGAAACGTTGTCTTCTTTTAATGAGCATAAAATATATTCAAACATATTCAATGTTTTTTCTCTCAAGTACTTTTTTATGATTTCCTTAAATCCTGTATCATTGGCTAATGTTATCAGGATTGAAGACAAACATTTCGTAGTCGCGTTTTCTGGGGAATGAAAATAAAGACTTAATAACTCGTCATTATCAGTGTTGATAGCATGGTACAAGCAATATCCTAAAAGGCCTTGTTTTGAGTGAAAGGCCACTTTTAAATTAGACGTTTCTAAAGCATTGAGCAGACATCTCTGTGATATTCGGTAAAAGTTTACTTTAACCATTCTTTCTATGGTACTAAATATCATTTCAAACAAAATGTCCGTGACCTTCTTTTCCTCTTGCTTTTTTGCCAACACCCTTAGTTCTTTCTCAACTGATCGTAAGACACTATGCTTTTCCATGTGGCACTGTAAATCATTGACCATAGTTCCTGATGTACAAAGGAGTAAATCGATGGAGAACATTTGGCTAATTTCCTTTTTTGTATCATAACTATCAAGTTCTTCATGTAGACGTTTTCCAATTTTCAATAAAATTTGTTTTGGTACAATATTTGAGTAAGGCATGAGCTTTATGAAAAACGCCGATATTTCCTGGGAATACTCATTACTGATTTGCGATTGAATAGCCATCATTTTTGATAGAAGTTCGGCTACACGGGATGATGAAAATTTATGAAAAGCGTGATTTAAATGTGCTTGTTCATCCGGTCGGATGTTTGATAAAGAAGAAGCTTTAACTTTCTTTTCGGAAAGCAAATGTTTATAAGCTGGACAAACCGCTTGCAATGCCTCTGTTATATCAGGTAATATTGATTTTTCCGGAGAAGGAAAGTTTAATGTTTTGACCCATTCACGCCAAACTTTTGAAAAGCAAATCTCGAAGTCTTTGAAAAGTCTTTGATAATTGGACATCATATCAATGAAATCTTCAATGCTCTTTGCTGGAATTGAAGGAAATGATTGAGTGCTTACATACTGAAATATTTCTTTTGTTGAGACTCGAACTTTTTCCGTTTCACTTTGAAGATTTTCGAGACATTTTTGTTTCCAATGATCAAAATAAGGAGACGTAATTTTTTTTGGTTTTTCAAGAAATTTTTTGAGTTCTGCCATAGCCTTGTTTTTTACTACAGCTTCATCTTTAGAAAATCTGTCTGCGACATTCTTTTGTGTGTATTGCTTGCTTTTTAGCCTTGCTATCAGTCTAGTAGATATTTCGTCTACCTGCTTAAAATACTCCATAAGAATTCTGAAGTAACCTTTATCCAGATCAAGGCGTGCTTCTGCCTCAAGAGTTGTGCGAAACTCAAAAACAAAACGATCTTTTTTGATAGCATTCCACAAAGTTTTTAAATGGCGGACAAAATTTGCCATATTATCGATTTTTGAATCACAACAAACATAATCCATAAGTTTTGTTCTTACACTGTCAACTTCCTTACTATACCCGATACTTACTGGTGCCATTGGTTGTTCCCCTTCATACAAGCTTGGGATGTAATCAGTATGGTGAAAAATAGAAAATTCTATAATTTCATGAAATAACCTTGGAGGAATTTTTTCTAATTCACAGGCCTTTTTTGTCAGGTTATTTAGGACATTTTCAAGAATGCGACTCTGTTGAATAAGTTTCTCTCTGTTTCGTTTGTCAACGTTATGGTGCACAATTGTACAACGTGGGTGTAATCCGACAAGGTTCATTCTCAGGAAAGCATGAACTGCGATTGGTAAATTTTCATGTAAATATGTTGCGTTCTCTCCCATGAGATTTATTACAGTTGTGTCAGCTAAGCCTATGACAAATGTTGACAATTCGTTGTCATGTTTAACGGATTCTGTAGAAATAAGTTCTGCAGCTTTCAGGCCTTCTGTGTCAATAGCAAGAATAAAATCTGCCTGAATTTCATTTTCTTCCGATGGCTGAACTTTAACTAATTGCATAAATGCACCCCTCGTGCAACGTCCTGCACTAACTGCGAAGTGGAGGCCAAACAAAACATTCAAAAATGTAGACTTTCCTGAGCTTTGAATACCAAGGACTGATATGGTATGCACACGTATGTCATCTGCAGGTTTTAAGATTTTATTATTTCTCAGAACGTCTGGAAGCTCCTTAAAAATTGAGCTTATCCAAAGTATTGGTACTGAACAAGCTTCGCCATCAAGAATTTCAATAGGATAACCTTCTAAAAGAGACAAACAAGCATATAGGGGTAGTTTCTTATACGATATCTTTTGTTTCTCTATTTGAATTATAATTTCTTGATCAGGCTGACTCTCACATGCCTCATACAACTGACCAAGTTCCCTGACAACATGCTCCATCCCAAATGACAATTTCGATTTCATATCGTCAAGATCAGACAGTTTATTATTGATTTTAATTCTCTCTTCTTCTGTTGCCTGAATTGTTTGATTTACAAGTTCCTGATATTTATCATAGAATGGTTTAAGGTGGATTCGCGAAAGGCTATCTAATTCAAGCTTTAGCATTCTCAGAAATATTTTCCGTGTAAAATCTTTGAAATTTGATAAGGCCTTAATGAATATCACCATCGGCTTGGAAATGCCCTTATTTGCAAAATGTTGAAATTGTCGATTTCTAACTTTTGACATGTCCTTTTCCAATTTTTCTTTACTTTCATATCTTTTCTTTTCACTTTCATCTAATTGATCAAATCTCCAAAAATCTCTATCCATTTGCGCCCAGGTTTTCCAAAACTTTTCTTGAAGCGGCAGTATTGTAAGCTTTCTCTCTTTTTCATCTACACATTTTATAGCATCAATCATGTCTTTGGAATATTCGAAAGCTGTTGCAAAGTCAATGTTTGATTCATCCACGCAAAATTTCATATTTGAAAGATTTTTTACAATATCAGATAAAACAACCTCTTTGCCTCCATGTTCAATTCTATTTATATTATGTAATAACATGTCCAGCATATCAGAAAGCATGGCCCGCTCAGCAGTCACTATATCAAAATGGGACTCTGGTTCATTTTCAAATGAAGTTCTTATATAATTATCTATTACATCGTTATCTGGATTCTGGTCTGATATCAGTAAAATCACGCGTGACCCCAAACTAAGTAACCGCTTTACTGTCATTTTTATGTCGTTTAAATCTTGAACGGTGCACAAAAAAACTGTTACAGTTGCCATTGTTCCAATCAAATCGATCTGTTTGTTTAAAGCTATGGCATTTCCACGTAAATTGACGAATAATTTTGGTTCGTTAAACCGTCGATCCTTATTTTCGGAAGGCAAAAACCACCCGAGTTCAACAAGGCCATTTGTAGCGCTAGATCTAGACCTTTTTGATCCCTCAGAATTTCTGTGAAAAAACATTGGATGTGGTTTTTCCGATCCACCAATTAAACAATTTAATAAACTTGACTTTGAAAACTGTTCATTTTCTCCTGCCCTTATAAATGCTATGCATTTCATGGGCTCGTGAATCATTTGCCTTTCTGTATAAGAATCATACTTCTGAAATTGTCCTATAAGTGAGCGGAAAGGCCATAGAAATACAGTTGGTTTTACGGTTGCAGAAAGTTGTAGCGAGAAAGGCATTGCCAGCTTACATCCCCATAGATGCATTATAAGATCTTGTTTTGCTGTGGGGTCACAGCATAAAAAGACAGCCACTAAAACGTCCAATGGATGAATATTGGCATTTGTTGCTTCGCGTTTTAGTCGTGTTCTTTCCCTGAAACCCATCTTAAATGGTTCAACATGTTCTGTGCCGGAAATTTTTATATTTCTAGCGTGATAATTATATCTTGTTATATCATACACGAACTGCCATGCCAATGAACTCTTCTTTTGCCCTGTGTTTAGACTCTCTGGTGTAATTTGATACAGGTCCTCCCGTGTTAGTTTTTCGGGATAAAATTGTTTGAAACTAAGTTTCTCTAAAACTTCACCTAAGATAAATATAGGTGATGAATCAGCCATTTCAAAAGAAGCAATAATTTGTCATTAAACGTACCTTTTACAGATTTGAATAAGACTAGCCGGTATCCAAATGCCAGAGTATATCCAAATATTTCATTTTGGTGTTTTGATATTCCTTAGTTAGTTCAGATTCTTGTTATCTAAAATAACAAAGACATATTTTTTATATCATATCAACTTTTGTTAAAGATTCATATCGTTATACAAAAACCTTGGCAATTAAATCAACAATATTTGATACAATGCTTGAAAAGACAACGGGTATATAAACACTTACAACTGATATATGTTACAGAGATGGATATATTTGATCGCCTAGCGATCATTGGGTATACAAATCTGGAAAAAAGTGATCCCTCGGAAGCATTAATCACAACAAAATAACAAGAGAATTGCAGACTCGATTTGATTGAGTCTGTACATAAGGGATAATGAATACGTACATCCCTCTGTACGAGTGACAATATGAAGGCATCGGATATATGGTAATCCAACTGTTACTAATCTTTGTGACTATGAAATGATCACAAAGACATCTCTTATGATAAAGTGTGTGTATTTTAAAAAGTGTTCAATTAGTTTGATGCAACTTGATTCTTAGAGTCCTACTCTAAGTTCACTCTTTTCTATAAATATCAACACTGCTGGCAGCTGAACACATTATAATGATCCAGCTGAAGTTTAACCAGTGACCATCAGTTATTCACTTGAATAATTTCTTTTTATAAATTCTATGATCATTTTAAAATCAAAGAAATTACGAGTATATGAACTAGTTTTCATTCTGTCTACATGCCCAACTGAAACTGAACTGTAGCAAACGTTCCTGCATGATTATACCACTGTTATAAAACGTTTACCTCAAAACACCGAAGTAGAAAGGTTCACACCGTATTCATCCAAGGTAATGTTTCAACTTATTTCTTCATCATAAAATTATCAGATTTTCAGAACTAAATAATAGTTTGAAGTTTTTGCATTTAAAATATCTGTTGTTATATTTGCGATAAAGTGCAAACGATGCTGATATTTGCAAATAAATCAAGTCCAAAACGCGTTTGCAGCATCAAATTTCGTCTTAAATACAAAATATAGACTTCCCTTTACTTGTATTTGAGTGGTCATATATCAATTCGAGCTGTTTTGAGCAATCTTTACAAAAAAACGTTCTCGCCTTGTGTACAGAGTCTAGAACCGTTGTGTACGCGGTATATACGAAAAACTGTTAGCGAGTGTACGGGTGTAGAAGGTTAACTTATGCAATTTTCGGCAAAAATAGTGTACCAAAGCAGATACACGTACATAGTTTATTTGTATTAAAGACGGAATTTGATACAGGAAATACGTTTTGGGCTGAATTTAGTGGTAAAAGTCAACATCGTTCGCACGTGTCAACAAATATGCTACAATTTAAAGCCAATTTAACAAAAAATATACAATTTGCAGAAAAAGAAAAACTGCTTTAAAATCAGAGATATTTAGCTGCATGATATTGTTAAGTTTGGAAAAATGATGATGTTATGATGAAGAAATAAGTTGAATCATTACCTTTGGCGAACTTAATATGAACCTTTCTATTTTCAGTGGACGCTGTACAACAATGGGTGATCAAAACGTTCGCATGAAAGTGTTCTCACAATATTACTGTATGCAAAAACTTTAAGCAACCATACTATGACACTAACATGCCTTTAGAAGTTAACACAAAATCTACTGTTGTACTAGTGCTTCAAAATCTTATAAAATATATAAATTGTAGAAGGAATCTAAATAACGCACCAAAACATTCATAATTTGTCATTTTGCTTCGAAAACTGTTCATTTTTTCCGCAATCTAGATATGCCTTCTTTTATAACACTACAGAATTAGCACCATCTGATTGTAGAGGACAATATCGGGATCATTGATCCGGGAGGCACTTGTTCTTGGATCGTATCAAACAAAAAGGAAAGAGAAAAGACTGCTTTGGCTTTGATATTAATTTTGTTGTATTTGAGGGCTGAATTGAAAAGTGTCGTAAGTCACATTTATGTCAAAAAATCAATTTTTTGCATTTTTGTCAATCAATAAACATAGCATGTTATTCTTATAATAAGTAACTGTAACGACGTATTTTCAAAAGTGTCGTAACTTTATGCTACATTTTTTTTTGTAAATGTAAAACTGTCGTAAGTTTAGTTACATACAGTTTTCCACAATGCAGTCTCATATCCATACAGTAGAATTAACATGGAAAAGCGGTTATAACTATGATGGTGTCCTCAAAACTGGACAAACTGATGATGTCATAAACTCATAACAGTTACTTTGATGTCATAATCAACTTGGCACCCATGGCATTGATAATACTGAAAACAAAAACCCGGCAAATATTGAAATTACATATAACTGAAGCTAGCAGTTTTGTGGATATCTGTGGGCAAGTTTCTTTTCATGAAGTGTTTGTAATCTGAAGAATAAAATGAATTAAAGTTTTCAAGTAGAATATTTGTACATTGTTTGACTTAAGATATTGTGTATAGTCAGAGCACTTTGTTAAGCTTGAATTTTGAATAAAAAGCACCTAATTTGGTAGTAATGAGATGTTCTGTCCTTGTCATCAAATTGCAAATTTGTAAAGCAGAAATAACTGAATTCACAGGTACTAATTTTATAAGACATTGTTCTGTTTTGTTCTGCTGTTTCTTATTTTCTTTTTATCTAGAATTGAAATTATATATTTTGAATGATATTGTTATAAACAATGTAGGGCTCCACTTTGTTTCATATGATGTCTGTAAAGTAAAACAATACAATTATCTTCATTTGTTAAAAAAATGCTTATACAAATTAACTTATGCATAATAATCTGTTTTGTATCATTAAATGATATGTCTTTAATGAAAGCAGGCAATGGCTATTTTATTACAAGTCCTGTTAAACATTAACATATGATCTGAATCTGAAGACAACTTGGAATGTATGTATAGTCAATGAATCCTGTGTTATACTCACTGTCATTTTAAATTCAATGCATTTTTAAGAACCAAGCAGTATGATAAATGATCAATTGCATTTAAATTGGTTTAATTTAAAGTTTAATGTTCAAAGTTTTTCTTTCTTTTATATAACATGTCTTTAAATTTGAATTAAATAAAGTCAATATAAAATGTGTTATTTTCAATTACAAAAAGCTATCATAGTCTGTTGTTTAGTATAAAACATATTAGTGGAAAACTTTAGCTATCTTGAGATACAACACTTGTCCATTAATTCAACAAGTAGAATGTAAAGAATTTCAGATGTAAAAATGTTGTAAGACAAAAAAATCTTTTTATTTCTTAATGTTAAGTATTATAGATGTAAATTAGAAATATTCCCTCCTGTTTGAATTTTTTGTTTTATTGGGTTTTACGCCACACTGACACGTTATAGGTCATGTGATAATTAAACTTGTCAAAAATTATTTAAGAAAAAAAAACAAGTTGTTTTCCTTCTCTTGTAAAATTGTGTAAATGTGACGTACAACAGTTTTCCGTTCAACCCTCGATATAAATGTGTAGCAGTGCATAATAACAATTTCATCGATATCAACTAATGCGTGAAATATGATAACATCTTTATCTGCCTACACATTTAGGTCTCGCCCGGTGAGAGGGCAAAAGTGAGTGGGCCGAAACCGTAATAAAAAGTACTTCGAACTAGTTGTTTGAAAAGGATGAAAATCTTCAACCAATTATTTTTTGTGAGCATAAAAACGGATTTGTAATTGTTTTTTTAATTTAATTTTTAACATGTTCAGTATTTATCTTAATGTAACCTTTTTACGTGAAAATCTATTGCCAAGGCTGATCTTCGCAAGGCGGTTCTACTCATAAAATGATCCGGGTTTTATATAATTTGTTGCAGAAATGTTATACCTGTATAATATAACTCGAATAACCTAAAACCTATGATACCAAAAAAAGGGAAGAAGATTTCCATGAAAAAAAAAAAAAAAAAAAACACAAAAAAAACCCACTCAGTAATCTGTGCTGAAATAAAAACACCTTTCTCAGAACTTTTTGCTTTAACTGTGCTGATGAATATGAACAATGGCCTCAAATAAAAGAACTCAAACTTACAAAATTTATCAATATTCGAATACGAAAAGTAACATGGCAAAACGGTTAAAATTATAACATTCGAGTTCTGTCAACACAAGTAGCAATTAAGAATTTTTGTTCTTGAAGTGTATTCTTTTTCCGTGACTATATTAATGAAAGTAATAAATTTTCATTTTCAAAATTGTCACTTCAAATCTATTTCTTTAAGAAATAAAAATTGATGAAAAGATACAATCATATATATGCTAGAAATCAACAAAAATGGTTCACACCTATTCCAAAGGAGAAAAGTGTCACATGACACCATTGTTTGGTTAACGAAAACACATAACTACAAATAACATATAAAAGATATTTACCTTTATTTAAGGGTTTTCCTGTCCTTAATTCTTAAATAACAAAACAGGTGTATCTCACTCTATTTTTTCAACAGGTACTGTCCTCGCACTGCTGCGTTTTAGATCAATATTTGTAGTCATAACAACGCCAATGAGGATTGACTAAAAAGTTCAAACTTTGTAGTATATCTAAATTACAAAATCTTAAATAGGGCGTGACAGCGAAGTAAATGTGCAAAGTATATAAACATGAATAAAGTACATTTTTACACAAATGTCACCTTTGCGTAACTTTTAAGTATAACAGCGTCTCTGTTAGTCATGTGCATGGTGTCAGAATAATGTATTAATTAAGTAATAAATAATTAGCAAGCAAACCAAATGTTTTGACCACCTGTCTATTGTTTGCAAGTCTGTATTTAGAATATTTGAAGCTGATAGCGGATCTTCAACAATAATGAATAGACTAGTATCATCAGCGAAAAGTCTGATGTTTGCTTTGATATCAAGAACAATGTCATTTATATATATTAAAAAAAGAAGTGGCCCGAGTATGGATCCTTGAGGGACACCAGCATTTATATAATTATCAGAAGATGTACAACCTTTAAGAACAACTCTTTGTTTTCTGTTATCAAGATAGGAAGTGAACCAAAGTAAAAGACGACCGGAAATTCCAATGTTATTAAGTGTATAGATAAGGCCCTTATGCCATACACGATCAAAGGCTTTACTGATGTCACAGAAAACTGTTCTCACCTCTTTTCCAGAATCAATGGCTTGAGCAAATAAATTGTATATGTAAGTCAGTTGATTTATTGTAGAGTCACCAGGAACAAAACCTGATTGTAATTGGGTAAGAATATTATTAGAATGAAGGAAATTGAATGTATGTTTGAATATGATTCTTTCAAAAACTTTATTGATAGTGCTAAAAAGAGAAATAGGACGGTAGTTATTTACCAGAGAAGGATCACCGGATTTAAAAGTGGAGAGACGTTTGCTTCTTTCCAAGCATCAGGAACTTAACACATTTGGAGAGAGTAGTTGAAAAGAGAGCAAAGAGGGCCGCAGAGTTCAGTTGAGAGTTCAAAAAAATGGTTAGTCAAATTTAATCCTTCAAAATCTGAATCAATGTTAATATCCCGTAAAACAAGACAAGTAATTCATCCGTCCATTATTATGCAGGGTCAACCAATAAATGAAATAAATAATCATAAACATCTAGGTATAATTCTTTCAAATGATCTTCGCTGGTCGGCACATCTTGATTACACTAAAACTAAAGCCTGGAAAAGAATAAATATAATGAAAAAACTTAAATTTACACTTGACCGGAAGTCTCTTGAGATTATCTACCTTTCATTTATTAGACCTATCCTTGAATACGGCGATGTCTTATTTGATAACTGTACCAAATTAGAAAAAACGGAACTAGAACTAATTCAACATGAAGCCGCAAGAATAGTGACAGGAACAACCAAACTCGTCTCTATTGACAATCTTATGTCTGAAATTGGCTGGGAAACTTTAGAAAAAAGGAGATACAATCACAAACTTATCCTATTTTACAAAATGAAAAATAATCTCACTCCAGACTATCTCTCTGATCTTGTCCCTTCTTCTGTTGGCTCCGAACATCGATATCCCTTAAGGAATGCCCAAGACATACAGACCATTCGATCACGCACAGATTTTTACTATAAATCCTTTCTACCATCTGTAATAAGAGACTTCAACGCCCTTCCAGTTCAAACCCAGAATGCACCTACGCTTGCCGCTTTTAAGCGCAGTCTTAAAAGTGAAGTATCAAATATACCGAACTTCTTCTACTATGGTGAGCGAAGCGACCAAATAATGCATACCAGACTTCGAACGAATTGTAGCTCTCTTGCATCTGATTTATTTGATAAGAATATTGCCGAGTCTCCATTGTGTGATTGTGGGATGATTGAAAATTCCTATCATTTCTTCTTTATTTGTCCAAAATATGGACATCTACGTCCCAATCTACTAAACACTCTTTCCAACTTTTGCACTCCAACTTTGCATGTTATTCTTTATGGAGACCCTGCTTTACCTGCGGACTCCAACACTGCTATCTTCGCCGCTGTTCATAAATTTATAAGAGATACTAAAAGATTCTAATATGTAATATACTAGTTGTCATACAACATAGTGTTCACACAAGTTTTTTTTTTCCATAAATGATGTACCAAAACGACAAATGATATAAAAACATCCGCAAACTCCTCATTTCTCCATCTTTCTCTTTATTATTTTCTTTCAATTACATATATGTATTTGTAATTATTTATTCTTTCTTCGTTTTTTTTTCTTTATAGGGTTTAATTAAAATTATGATAAGCCATGTATTATGTAAATATATTGCTTTTGTTAAAGGAGAGGACTACTATGAGCTATTGTAGCTCTCGGTCCAATTCCTTTCTGCTTAAATTGTAAATTATTAACATGTACATGTATATATTATCTGAATAAAAATATGTTTAAACCAAACCAAATGTTTTTACACAATATATAGGTTATTTATCATTATGCCATAAAGATTTATATCAATCACATATATGTACTTTATCATTAGTTCATTTTCTAAATATTGGATAGCCTTTGTAAAAAGATTCTAAAGATAGAAACACTATTGTTCCAGCCCTATTTTTAAGAAATGTAGATTATGCATGATGACGTAGTAAGTAGTAAGTGCCATTCTGATAATATTCAATCCGACCGTCATGCTTGGTCATTTGTTAGATATTCCGGACTGGACAATGATTCGGCGACACGAACTTGATTTTCTTGATTTTCGAATGGTGTAAGTCCACTTCATTGTGATTGTTAACGAATTCTGGTGTAAGTTCTTTTCATTGTGATTGGTAACGAATTCAATCCGTTTTTATAGATTCCCATATAATTAATAAAAAAGTGTTGTATACATATTTTTCACCATTACAATTCTAAAATAATGATTCCTTCAGAGAAATGAAAACAACAACAAAAGTCGCGTTTTTTTTTGTGCAACAAAAGTCGCATTAGAGATAATAAACACTGGAACCTCACCTTTGCGCCCCGGACCAGTTAAAGCTGTATTCTATCCTTCACACTAAAAGTTTTCAAATCAATAAACCCACGAAGGATCGAAAGGAATAAAGTTACATCTCTTTTTTGAAGTACGAAGAAACACTTACAGATGCCACACCGCTAAACGTCCGCTGTTGTGAGTACAAAATACTGGAAAAAGAAGCTTCGTAATCATTCTGTATAAATAAACAATCAATTGCTCGTGCCATAATTACCACGTGTCACTGTGATGTTATGTTTTGATGGGACCGTGAATGCATTTAGCTGTTTTTTACATTGCGCCCTGAGTAACGCACATTGAAATGAAACAACGAAATCTATTCATTTATACACGTACTGTATTCTTCTTCGTTTATGTACACTTGCATGTGCAGTCTGTATGTAAGAATAGTTGATAGAACGAACGTTAAACTCAACAGTCAATTTCTTAAATAAAGGCTACGCATATGAATGTTAATTAACACTCATATGTATTACTAAAATCATGCATCATTTTAATCGAAACACACTTCGTAAAACATGTTAGGTTGGTCTCATGCATATATTTAAAGTCTTTTAACATTTTACCTCATAGTGACGTGTTTTTGACGGTTTTTTGCCCCCCCCCCTTTTTGAGGCTTCACACAGTGAAAACATACCATATTTAAACCCTGTTTTTCGTTTGAGAAATGAAATGTTACATCAGGGGATTGCCAGAAGGGGTTGTGCACCCTTCTGTTTGGGGGGTTTGAAAGGGGGGTGGGCGGTTGTCCCCCTCATCGCCAAGAAAATGCTAAAAATGGCATCAGGCCAATCTTAGGGTAACTAGTAACCGACGCTGAAACGCCTTTTACTCTATCTCAATTCATTGAAAAGTTGCAGTACTTTGAAATCAGTTTTGATGGAACAAAGAATGCAAAATAGTGAGTTTTCTCAATTTTGAGACGTGCCCCGTTGCCATGGTAACAGAAAATTTACGATTGCGCATGCAATAGGCTTTGGTCCAGTAAAACATTTGTGCCAAGTTTCATCAGTATTTAATCATTTTTCATAGTTTCATAGCAGTTTGAACTTGGAACAGGAGGTTTTTCAATGAAAACGGCCATTTTTCACAATATGCTCATGTGTTAAAAGGTTAAAGCTTCAAACTTGCAAACACTCCCAAGATAGACATTCCCTAATGTTTTAGTCATTTCAAGACCTTAAATTAAAGTTGGGCACATGAAGTATTTACAAACACTTTTTAAATCTTTTGAACAAATTCAACGTCCCATGTTTAAAAATAGTTACATAAAATAGGCCGTATTTCCAAATACGTAAGGTTTAGATACAATCGAAAAATCCCCATTAAAACTTCAATACGAAATAGATCGGTAGATTGAATGCATGATTACTCACCGTTTTCACATATTTGTGTGCCTTTCAACGGGCATAAACATGCAAATACAACTATTGCCCGTGAACAGGCTCCACTTCAGGCTGATATGTATGTTAGCATGTCAGTTTTAAAGAAGAAAAGTGGAACCATTTTGGCCATAAATCAACATCTTAGTTTGGTGTTCTAAGAAGTAGTTTCTGTTTCGAAGTTTTATTGGAATCGGCTTATTAGAAAACACCCATTCTTTAATCTAAATACCATTAATTAAGTATCAATTCATAACAATCAAACAAGGAAATTACTATAAAGCGTCTTGGTGCTTATAAATTTAATCGTATACAAATAACTAGGGACTTTTCATGAAAAGATAGAGATATAATAATGGGCGTGTTTACAGCTGCTTGGTCTAATGATTTTGCGTTGTATTATAATTAACTTTTTATCATTGGATTTTAAAAGTAGTTTCTAAATGAATGTTAGATCTACATAAGATGTTTCGTATAAGATACAAAGGGTTCCCGCCCCTTCAAAAAGTTTATGATATCTATCTATCAGTATAGGATATCAAGAGTAGTTCCCCTTTTTTAATGAAAACTGTAACATTAATACAATATCTGCATAAGGTATCAAGAGTACTCTCCCATTA